TCCGTTAAATTTCTATTTCTAGAGAACTAATTGATGGATGATCACCCAAACTTTTTCTGTAGCATTGTTGGGTAGTCTTTTATCAAGTTTGCTAATATCATTTTGATTGGCCCCTTTAAGGGGTCTCTAGGGCTAAAAATAGAAAAACCTTTAAACACCTTCTCCTACAGAACTAATTGATGGATGATCACCAAATTTTGTCGACAGCATTCTGAGGTAGTGTTTTATCAAGTTTGCTCATATTAATTTGATTGGCTCCTTTTAGGGGCCACTAAAGCTTAAAAAGAAATACTGTTAAATGTCTATTTCTAGAGAACTAATTGATGGATGATCACCAAACTTTGTCTGTAGCATTCTTGGGAAGTCATTTATCAAGTTTGCTAATATTATTTTGATTGGCCACTTTTAGGACCCCAAAAGCTAAAAATAGAAATACCTTTAAATGTCTTTTCTACAGAACTAAATGATGGATGATCACCAAACTTTGTCTGTAGCATTCTTGGGTAATCCTTTATCAAGTTCATCACATTAATTTGATTGGCCCCTTTTAGGGGCCGCAAAAGCTAGAAATTGAAAAACCTTTAAACATTTCCTACTTCAGAACCAATTGATGGATGATCACCAAACTTTGTCTGTAGCATTCTTAGATACTCTTTTATCAAGTTTGCTCTTATGAATTTGATTAGCACCTTATATTTGATAGATGATCACCAAACTTTGTAGCATTCTTAGGAAGTGTTTTATCAAGTTTGCTCATATTAATTTGATTGGCCCTTTTAGGGGCCGCTACAGCTAAAAATAGAAATACCGTTAAATTTCTATTTCTAGAGAACTAATTGATGGATGATCACCAAACTTTGTCTGTAGCATTGTTGGGTAGTCTTTTTATCAAGTTTTGCTAATATCATTTTGATTGGCCCCTTTAAGGGGTCTCTAGGGCTAAAAATAGAAAACCTTTAAACACTTATCCTACAGAACTAATTGAATGGATGATCACCAAATTTTGTCGACAGCATTCTGAGGTAGTGTTTTATCAAGTTTGCCTCATATAAATTTTGATTGGCTCCTTTTAGGGGCCACTAAAGCTTAAAAAGAAAATACTGTTAAAATGTCTATTTCTAGAGAACTAATTGATGGATGATCACCAAACTTTGTCTGTAGCATTCTTGGGAAGTCTTTTATCAAGTTTTGATGATATTATTTTTGATTGCCCCTTTTACGACCACAAAAAGCTAAAAATAGAAATACCTTTAAAAGTCTTTTCTACAGAACTAAATGATGGATGATCACCAAACTTTGTCTGTAGCATTCTTGGGTAATCCTTTATCAAGTTTCTCACATTAATTTGATTGGCCCCTTTTAGGGGCCGCAAAAGCTAGAAATTGAAAAACCTTTAAACATTTCCTACTTCAGAACCAATTGATAGATGATCACCAAATTTTGTAGCATTCTTAGGTAGTCTTTTATCAAGTTTGCTCATATTAATTTGATTGGCCCCTTTTAGGGGCCGCTACAGCTAAAAATAGAAATACCGTTAAATTTCTATTTCTAGAGAACTAATTAATGGATGATCACCAAACTTTGTCTGTAGCATTGTTGGGTAGCTTTTTATCAAGTTTGCTAATATCATTTTGATTGGCCCATTTAAGGGGTCTCTAGGGCTAAAAATAGAAAAACCTTTAAACACCTTCTCCTACAGAACTAATTGATGGATGATCACCAAATTTTGTCGACAGCATTCTGAGGTAGTGTTTTATCAAGTTTGCTCATATAAATTTGATTGGCTCCTTTTAGGGGCCACTAAAGCTTAAAAAGAAATACTGTTAAATGTCTATTTCTAGAGAACTAATTGATGGATGATCACCAAACTTTGTCTGTAGCATTCTTGGGAAGTCTTTTATCAAGTTTGCTGATATTATTTTGATTGGCCCCTTTTACGACCACAAAAGCTAAAAATAGAAATACCTTTAAAAGTCTTTTCTACAGAACTAAATGATGGATGATCACCAAACTTTGTCTGTAGCATTCTTGGGTAATCCTTTATCAAGTTTCTCACATTAATTTGATTGGCCCCTTTTAGGGGCCGCAAAAGCTAGAAATTGAAAAACCTTTAAACATTTCCTTCTTCAGAACCAATTGATGGATGATCACCAAACTTTGTCTGTAGCATTCTTAGATACTCTTTTATCAAGTTTGCTCTTATGAATTTGATTAGCACCTTATATTTGATAGATGATTACCAAACTTTGTAGCATTCTTAGGTAGTCTTTTATCAAGTTTGTTCATATTAATTTGATTAGCCCCGTTTAAGCTAAAGCTTAAATGCCCCAAAAAATTTGTAAACATATTCTATGCTCAAGTTTAATATGAGACTATATTGACATTGCAACACTGAAAAGCAGTTGTTTCTGGTGAGCGACTCAGGGCCATTATGGCCCTCTTGTTTATGTAATGTAATTTCCCGGTGGAAATAAAAGGATAAAACATTTTAAAATATGTTGTACGATAATGGTGTTTTTTTTTCTATATTATAAGGATACATAGAATGAGGATACTGTCTTGCTATATGGCGGGTTAACTTCGATGTTAGAGAAAGTGCATTTGATTCGTCTTTCAAAAACTTGATAGAATTGAATAAGATTCAAAGACCATTTGAGCTCCAATTCATAAAAACAACCTGATAGATTAACCCTTCATAAGACTTTATAAAATGTAAAATATTGTCTGTATCCCGAGGATAGACTTGTTTACTTGTTTACATGTGAACATTTACTTAGAAACGATAAAGTGTAAAATTGATTAAAAATAGCAGAATAATTTGTTGAACTTCAATAAATATTAGGGAAAACAAACACAACCATTATAAACAATAGAGACAGTTGTCAAATAATGTTTAATTCCAAGGATATACAGAATGTGATATTCCAAGTATTTACGATGTATTAATTAACCTGTAACGAAAATGAAAATACAATAAGATTTCTTAATTGATATTGTGTAGCTGACACACGTACTTATATAATTATACATTAAATCATTTCATTTATGATGTTGATTATTATGTTAATGATCACTAACATTGTCATCAATTTGTGTTACAATAACACTATGATCGTCAAAGCATTAACAATAATGTTCTTTTAGTTTGAACAAAAACTGTTCACTGTCCTCGGCACTTAAATCATATATATAGAACGTCAAATTTGATATGCAAATAATAAAAAACATATACTTTCAGCAAATTGTTGGCGCAAATTAATAACAAAAAGAGAGTTAGACATACCAATTATAATTCCCGAAAGGTCAGGTTTTACGTGTTGTCCTGAAAAAAATAGAATTTATAAGTGTCATGTTTATTTGCCAACTCGTTTCAATTCATATAGAAGAATATTTATATTATATATTTATCTTCCTTTTTTTGATAGGAGAGTTAGGAATTGTTTGCCTCATTGTTTATATAATTTAACGCTGATTTGAACACATCTTTGGTCATATCTTTGTGGGCTATCCGGCTTTCCTTGGTAACTGTCTATTTTTCCGCAAGAGGCGGCGCCTAATAATTCTACATTTAAGGTATTAGGACCCTAATGGGCACTATCAGGAACTAAAAAATTGACATCATAAGTCAGATGTATACCTTAGAGTACACATGTATGCAAAATTTAAACAAAGTTTACCGTACGGAAATCAAGTTATGGCCACTTTTCTGAACCCAAGCTAGGATGTTATGAGGGCCTTTTTTTAGAAAGTAGGAACCTTTAAATAATCTGCAATAACATTCTAATGAAAAATGTTTTCCCATTAATTTTTGGTAAGAAACAAATAGTACCATTCAGCTAACAATCCAAATAAGCAAAATTATGGTTTCTACTTAAAATTTATGAAATCTGTATAAAAATGTTACCCTACCCCACCCATTTTTACCACGTGTCTGACCATTTTTCTACTTAGGGAGCCTAATTTAAAAAAAAATCTTAAAATTTACCCAAATGAGTGCCTGTTTTCAAAGTTTCCCTAAATTTTTAAAAAAGTATATTGGTTGATCTTGTAAAATATGAAATACTTTTACCGTCTAGTTTTGATTATATTACACTTTGAAAATATCAGGTACCATATTTATTACTAGATTTAGCATAATTTAGCCAATAAATACCTATATAAATTAAAAAATCAAAATTAAACACTTTTTTCTTTCCAAATGGGACATGAGAGATACATAAATAATGTTAAAAGAAAAAAAGAAAGAAAAAAAAGTTGACCCTTCTGGGGATTGAACCCATGGCCCTCATTTTCAATGTAGTTAACAGTAGTTCTAGCCTATTTGAATACTCTTCAAAGCGGAGGTAATGCATTAGGGTGCTAATACCTTAATATATACATTAGCTGTGAGAGACAAGTGACCTATTATACTCAGTTTCGTGAACCAAATGTCATGGTAAAAGTAGCGACTCTTGGATTTAAATCCGATACTCTCCCTATTGTACACCACACTGCACATTGTATCATAAAATATGAGTTTGAGTATCCAGGGAATGGGCACAACAATCTTTATTGGAAAAGTGTGTTTTCAGTTTACTTCTTTTGAAGCACACAAAAACATGGATATATATTGTTAGAATGTTATCAATTGAAAACAATAAGAAAGTCTAAATGATATTACCAGTACAGCTTTTGTCATTAATCAGGACATCATCTATCGCAATATCACCTCGATAGGTGTCACCAATAGTACCTTCAATAACAAGAGTGTAGTTGTAAGGAGGAGACGAGGCGGGTATTTCGACTTGTGTAGTCTTCCATTGTTGCCCTTGTTCCCCGGTTATGCTTGACAGACCTGTTTCAGACTGTATGCCTGAAGTCTAAAATATTTACAACACGTCATGAGACACTTTTCCTTAATTATAACATATTAATTATACTTCCGTCAAAGAACAATCCCAATCAAACCAAGATGCAACATATTTAGTTTACTTATTTTTTTTATATTATTTTTCTTTTTCGTTCACAAACCAAATATTTTGTTTCAAATACTTTTCTCTGGTTGAGATTTTTAAGCGTACGCTGTCAACTCAAATATTTATAATTAAGTGCGTCAATAGTTAGAACAACTGTCAAGCAATATACCTTTTTCAAAAGAATGGTCAAGTCTCCAATACCGTCTCCATACATATAATACCATAGTGACAAACAAATTGTTGTCTTTGATGATATTTGAGGCGATTTTAATCTAGCAATCTCGCCTTGCACTCGAGGTGCAGACGATTCTATATACGCGTAACTCCCTTGCACTGCAATAAACATAGATAGATATGTATGGTGTTAGTCAGTCATTCAGTCAGTTAGTCAGTCAGTTAATTAGTTAATCAACTAGTTGTTATTTATTTGAAAGATCAGCGGTAACAGACGAATGACCAACCCAATATTCAAGTGCAATAGTTATTGAGAGCGCCTCGATTGGATGAACGACTTTTGATTTTAAATCGATTGCTTTTCCTTTTGAGCTTATCAATTGGACGTTTTATTTCAGACCATTGCTTCTCTTTAAATCTTACTTATAATTACTAATATTACAAGTAGATGTTTAAATAGTGTGTAATTAGAAAGAAAATTAGACTGTAGGATTAGAAAAAAAATGTGAAAAAGAGTGTGAGATTCATGACGATAACTGACAGTATAAGATTAAAAAGCTAGAGAGGTAAGGATAAGAGAGTGGCACTTTTGGGTTGATTTCAGTTGAAAAAGGGATAAAGGCTTTAAAGTAAAAGAGTAAGAATTATGGTATCCTAAGAATGATGGACTGATGAAATGTCCAAGGCTCTTTTCCAACGCAACGAATCAACCCCAGGATCCTCTTTCACGCCAAATATTTGGTAGCTTTTCTTGCTTTTATGGATACAAAGGAATTAAATAAAATCAGTTAAACCTCTCTTAATGTGTTTCGACATTATTTGCCGGATCATTACTTTGATTGGGATGCGTGGCGATGACATTCCATAGTACTATTTTCTAGTGATGCATTTTAAGTTAAAACTTAATTAAAATAAGTTTTGTCAGCAAGAAGTTGCGTTATCATTACAAAAACATGTATGCACAAAATGCAAAGAGTAATTTTATAAGTTTCATCTAAGATGCCTATCCTTAATAGTTTTACATGGTTATGAAATAAATCAAAACAAATCTACTGAACCAGTTAATATGACATAACATCATTAAATGAAAAATGAATTCAAAAGAAAACTAAAATTGTGTTGTGGTAAATGCTCCACTCAAACATCTTTATTTTTCAATCGCAATCAAGTCACAATCGGCATGCGCAATACGTAACCAATTTAGAATCATTGTTAGAAACATTTAAATGTTAAAGGTTTTGAAAGACAATGTAAAAATTTGAATCACTCAATTTAGAGGTTGTGACCCGATTTTAGTTTTGTTCGAGTACATCAGAATTTTTACCAACACAAAGTCACAAAAACCTTTAAAACAGTTAAGAGATGTAAATCATATGTACTTAAGGCAGTGTTAAAATGTGATAAAAATTACAAAGTTTTACAGAACTCCAATACATTACCGTATCAATTTAAGGTCTATGACATACGCAAAATTAAATTATTTGACTTTAAATGTATAAGTCATCTTAAGGTTAAATTCATACATGAATTGATATGCTTGCCGGTTTAATCTTAGTTGGCAGTTAGTCCGAGTATTAATAAAATCAGTCTACCAGTAACAAAATGATGGCAATTTTAGTAAACACAATACATGATTTGATCTAAAATGCCCAGGTCGTCAATATAAGTGGAATACCATACCGATATTGCTTAAACAAGACATTTGTATGCTATGTTTTGGATCAACGTCAACCTCATGTTCAGATCAAGATAAAGTTAGGAAGGTATTTACTGAAAGGTTGGTATGCCAACGAATATACAATCGAACACTCATAACAAATTGTTAGTCTTTTTTTTTAATTTTGCATAATAAATAGATCTAGTGTGATTTTTAATACAATTTTGGTTCATGTAAAACTTGAGTACGTTAATGGTTGTATGCCAAGGGCTGTGATGTACAAGTATGAACCAACTTTGGCAAACTTTAGAAAATATGTAATAGAATTATCGTAAAGATCAATGTCAAGAAGTGTTTTTGCCGATATTGTTGAAAGGGTTCTTATTGGATTGTATAAATACAATAAAGTCATTTATGAGTCGAGGCAGATGTTCTAAGAACACATACTGTGAACGTGACCTTGCCTTGTTGATCTTTATAGTCATCATTTGTTCTTATCATTTATCTTGACGCTCCTTGAAAACAAGACGGGCGAACGTATTGACAGCCTTAAACACCCTCATCCTCGTTAATAACCTTCAGGGGAAGGATTTTTATGACAATTGTCAACAAGAAGCGACAATGTTTTTACAAAAATATGAATGTTAAAATCACCATGATAGTGTTTACGAAGAAATCTGTAACAATTTTATTACATGGTGCTGTTTTAAGAAACAAATATAATCTGACAACACTTTGACCCTATGTCAAAATGGACCCCTCAAAGCATATACATATATCTCGAATCCTTGAACACTCATACTATTACTCACTTTATTCCAACAGTTGGGCCGTAATGAAGATGTATTGTTGTTTACAGCAGATTGGTATTTGTATGTCTACGAATGCATGAAGAAGTGGTCATTATGAGTAATTGTTTTTTTTTAGTTATTTTACGGAATTTTCTGTATAGTTACTAAACAAAATTCTAGATGTATGCCTACCATTTCCTTGTGTGTGATCTACAGGAGGCCCAGTGTCAGAAGACAATGTTGGTCCGCTTTGAATTGTCCAGTTGAAGACATCTGAAAGATCTTGAGACCAAACACATACGTTACTTTGCTCAAAAGTACACAGACTTCTCGGCCCCACTGAAATGAATACGTGTACCTCTTAGAGTGGCCACACATGCACACAAATACACACACATACACACGCACGCACACACGAATCATTGTTAATTGATTTTTCGGTAATGGGTAAAGGTGTACACTTTTTAGCTAAAATTTCACTGAAAAAACAATCTGAATAATTTTAACGCTCGTGTCTTCCCTTTATTTTGTAGAGACATTTAATCATATTTAAGTGATAAAGTATTGCTCCATGACATGATCTTAACACAGTAACCATTTAAATACAAAAACAACATGGAATATAACTGACAAGTCGCTTTGACAGTTATTATTGGTTGCGATTTTGTTGATGAGGTACGAATTGTGGTTGTTGTTATGGTTGTTGCTGCTGTAGTCGTCGGTAGCCGTGTCGTCGTAATCGACAGCATCGTCGTCGTTGGCGTCGTCATCATTTCTTTTGTTGATGTATCTTTCACTAGTCCAGTAGGGCATGTGAAATTAAATTCTGAAGTAATTTTAAAGAAAATTATAAGTTTGTATATATGGTTTATGAATATTTTCTTTTAACTTCATTTAATCTAAAAATAAATCATATTTAATAAATGTTCTAAACAGATAAAATGAGTAAAACGTAACATACTTAATCATACATCCAGTGTTTGTGAGATGCCGCACGTCCTTTCTATCTAATGAAAAGACGAAATAAAAACGAATCGTTTCAACCAAGAAGTATTTTGCATGCAAGACTTAATTTTGTATTATTTACTCGGGCAGTCAAAATGTCATGTTATTACCACGTTTAGGTGAGTCAAATGCTAAAAAATAATGAAACTTCACAGCCTTGTAAAATTCAGCATATACTTTGTTAAATGTTGAAGCATATGTTTTGCTTAATGCAGCTAAGAGGTGCTTTCTCTTGTAATATCACGTAACGTAACGTTAGCTCATTAGCTCCTCTGAAAATTTACGATATGGAGAAATAAGACACCTTATATGACAGAGACTCAAATAAACTCTGTTAATTAAAAGTTAAATGCTCATTACTTTCGTTGTGAAGATAGTGTTGTACTTTGATCCATTAATACTTTTGTTTACTATTATCTTGAACAGTGCACATTGTTTTAATTATATTATTCTCCTTTCTTTTTCTTATTATTTTATTATAAAAAAGAACCTGTCATTAGTAATAAGTTAATACTCTACATTCCAATGGAATGGAACAATGTAACAACATTATCACTTTGCATTTTAAAACTGTGCTTTTCGGTCGTGTCCAAGGTCGATAGTAAAAAGAAACTGAAAAGCTTCCGATTTTCGAACGAACAGATCAAAAGTTGTCCACCTGTGCTACTGACATATTTCACGCTTTGGCAATAAAGCTAAAAAATACTAAACCATAAACCATTTCATGTAATGCAAAATGGGCTGGTTATTTTTTTGTTTCTAATTTTGAACATGATTGACAATGTAAACGTTACCTGTTTTATTGATTTTCCTGTTGTACGGGCTTACATTACACAGGCTCGTGTTACAACACTTTACGTTTCCATCTCCCGAATTAGCAAACAAGTTCATAAGAACCGCGCATTGCTTTGAAATGAAAGCCAGAAAATATACATATTTCCTTATTCTATGACACATGTAGATAGAAAACGACAATTTATGTGGTTGATAAATGTGGACTTTATTTTAAGTCACAACATGCTGTGTGTAATAATAAATGATTGTAATAATATGCTTTTGAAATATGCAATAGATGAAATAAAAATAATAAAAAACGATGATTTCATCAACATAATAGTTTCACTTTAGATCCTTTGAAATACTGTTTTCACAAATATTCACACTTTCTTACAGATTAAATCTATAAATATTAACAACGATAAACAAAACTTTAATTACTGCACTGTATATGTGTATACAGTAATAAATTAACGAGTAAATACCGCTCGCTTAAATCTGCAGCCTAATTCTAAAGCGCCATGGTGAAAGGAATGTGGATGATTTGATACAGAACACGCCTGAAAGGGAGGGATTTTAAAGTTATTTGTATATCAATTTGAGGATATTTAAATAAATAGCAAAAATACAAGTGACGATTAATTTGGAATTGAATGCATTTTTTACCCTCATATAAACTCCAAAACATTTGTTTGCTTTTAACTTGTTCGTGTCTTCTTAATTTTATGCTGTCCTAAACTTATGAATTCCATTTTATTCTTACCTGTATATGCTATTTCAGCAGTTTTATTCGGAGGACACAATTGGGAGATGTTTCCCATGAACGGCGCTCACCATTAAAAATCTTTGTACTCATATTTTGTTATTTAATATTTAACAAAAATGCATGAAAAGTGTAATTTGTTTTTATAGTCCTTGTTAGTAGTAAAAGGATATTTCTTTTCATGAGGGAAGCACATACAATGGATAGTATGCAAACCTAAGTAAAGATAGAGTAATCATTAGATTTGGGATTTTGGATAACCGATGTGGAAGTTTTTCTCATATGAAATCAAAGTTGAAAAATAGCAAAAAATGCTGTTTTCGTAATTTCAATTATGGTTCCATTGAAATAAATCATTTTCAAATGCATTGGACGAGATTTATGTTTTTTTTAGTTTTGTTTTGTTTATTCACTGTACATAAGTTTTAAACATGCCAATTTAAAAAATACATTTACTATAACCCAAAGATGGGAATTGTTTATATTTACTTATCAATTCAAAAACTAGAAGTATCAATTTATACAAATAATTAAACTGTCATTATGCTTTAAGACATTCATATATATTCCAAATAGTTAAGAAGGTAATGCATATATCATTATATTTCCGTTCTATGGCTTATTATCAAATAAACTGTACAATTCAAAGAATGTTAAATGCCGAACACTTATTTTTCGGCCCTTATATTTCAAATACATAATTGTCTTTGCCTCTTACATTTGTCAATTTATTTAATAAGAAGATGATATGGACTTACATATATCTCCAAATCACAATCCTCTGTTGTTGTACATTGCGGTCCACCGTCGTAGACCTCTTTACACTTAAAACACTGAGTATTATTTAACGCTGAAAAACAAGAAAAATATTTCAAATCTACTGATTTTCATACGCCCAATATAATTCTCTTTACAGACAGCCCGACTTTATACATTCACGGCATGAGGAAGCAATACAGTTTAACAGTTTGACCTATTTTTGTCAATTAAGAATGCTTTTATTTTGAGTCAATTATTTGCACTGTGTTCTTTGTATTTGAATATTACGCCTGTGGCTTGCACTTAATCACTGTGATCTACGTTACCATAAAACTCGAACCGTTTGACAAATTATGAAAGAAACATCATTTTAAGGGCAACATGGGAAACGTCATTGGAAGAACCTTTGAAATTTTCCCCGTGCATCATACTATTTGCTAGTGTTTTTATTTTCTAGTAACCCTGACACATTGATAAGTTTGGTTAAGTATAAGTGATTCCGCTGCCTCTGCTGTTGCATATCGGGTAACGAACAAACTGGGATCAAGCCGAGTCTGCAATCTTAAGGAATCTAAATGATTAATTCTAGCTACATTTAGCATCAATACTAAACATTTCTAAAACCGAAAACTTCTGGCACCTATTCATATGACAATTAATCTTTAAAAGATGACTAATTTAATTAAAGATCCCGAAAAGGAGACATTTCTTTTATAAAGTAACCATATGAAACTCAGTCATTACGAGTATTTTGTGAATAATAACTGATTGTTTGTTCGTTCGTTTGTTTGTTTGTATTTAATTGCACATTGACAATACGGTGCCGAAAACTGTAATATAATTGTGAACATGAGATTATTAAATAGAGAAAATAATAAGAATCCCTAAAGAATGACCAAAACGGCAAAATTGAAAATATTGCAGGCTCAGTGTGACTGAGCTTGTTCATGGACAATTCTGTCAAGTGCATACTACCGTCCATGCCCCCTAGCACCTTCTTAAGCAGAATTCAACATCGAAACATGAAACGGTAAACTGTTGCATTTTAAAACATTCGCAGATCTGTTCATACGGCGGTTATCATGGAACAGCAATGTGGCACTTCTTTACCATTCCATGAAAAGCGGCGTATGTTCCCAAATAATATTAAGCGTGTGCCCTAAAAGAGAAGACAATGGGCGAAATTAAACCAAATGGAAACCTAAACATGGGCAATTACTGATTTTTAGCAGGCCAAAACGCATGTTTTATTTGAGGATCTCAAAATAATTCAACCCTAAAACCGTTCTAATATTTGCAAATACTTGATCCATCGATCAATCCTTCCTATTATCTTTGATAAGAGGTCTAGACAAGTTTTGTGATGAACGGACTGAGAGACAGACCGTGGAGGAGTGATCCCTTCATGACGCTTAATACGGGTAATGCTTGGTTACAAAATGAGTGAAATAAATCTACATTTACATTTCTTCTAAGTTATCATTTAATGTTTTGAGAGGAACTGAGAAGAAAAAAAATACTCGGTCATATCTATCACGAACTTGTACAAGAGCTTGGCACTGAAGGGGGATTTTTAATTATAAAAAAGTTGGTTTAATATTGCTTCACATTTCATATACATCATATAAAGTAAATTCTGAGTATACGACATTGTTACTACAAAAAATAAATCAAACTAAAATTTCAACTAAAGGCACACTTAGCCAAAAGCTATGTTTACCTGTATCAATTTCATTAAAACGATTTTAAGTAAGTGCCCCGTTACAGCTTCCAAAAATCGATTTTTACCATATACTATACAGCTTGACAACCTTTTACTGATTTTGAACATTACATATAGGTTATTTATATTAATTGAGTTTTCTATTTGGAAGTCAAAATGCCTCTGTTTAAATTTGACTATTACTGTGTTATACGGGCGTCAAAAAACTTCGACAAATCGAAAAAGTCGACACATAACATTTCGACTAACATATAGTTTTTTTATAAATAGTATATTGGGGGAAATCGGGATTTTTATTTTTGGTTTAGATCTGAAAAAAGTCATTCTTCGGAAATATTAATCACAACAAAATTTAACAAATCGAGAAATATTGACTGCTCAGAGTTCGACTCACCGATGTTGTCTTTTTATAACAAATATTTTTATATTTAGTGCTACATTCTCCAGATCACCAATCACACTAACAAACTGAATTACCAGTACCGTCCAACCGAGCCTGCAACACATTCAGTTTTGTCGTGATGGGCTTTCTTTAGGGATTCTCATTTCTCTCTATTGTATCGTCACATCAGCGTTGTTTGTGCCGTGTGGAGGCTGTAAAAAGTCGTCCCGTACATTCAGTCAGAGATGTTATATTTTCGATCCTTAAAGATCGTTCAGCACGACATTATTATTGTGCTTATGGTATTTCAATTCATTCTATTCGGCTATTTTCTTGCTGGGTGGTTCCAGTATTCTTCACTTGAATACTGTTGAATCACCCTTAGGATTTGTGGCCTAGTTTATAAATTTGTCTTTTGATGTCATATCTGTGATATGCAGGCTTCATAACCTCTGTTCCCCTTTCAAATTTCCATTTTATTTAGTTTCGCCCATTGTTTTCTCGTTTAGGGCACACGCATTATTTTACTTGGGGACAATATGCCGCTTTTCATGGAATGGCACTAACGTGTCACATTGTAGGTTCCATGATAACCGCCAGATGAACACATCTGCGGATGTTTTAGAATTTCAAATTTTACCAGTTCATGTTAAAAGTCGAATACTGCTTAAGCCGGTGCTAGGGGGCGTGGACGGTAGTTTGCACTTACCAGTACCGTCCACGAACAGGCTCATTTTCAGTTTTGCTGTGTTGGGCTTTCTTTAGGGGTTCTTATTTCTCTATATTTCAATTAGTGTAGTAGTGTTAACAATTTTTGACATTTCTGATGAGCAAAAAGGTCATTTCTGTAGACTTATGTGCCTTTAATACTATAGTCTGTCCCATTAAAAATGGAAATGAACTTTTGCCTAATATGAATTAATAAAAACACGTTGAATAAAAATTAAAACTTTTTTGTAAACTAAAAAAAAGTCACCCTCGAGATTTTTCAGGATTTTTCTCTAAAGTGTCTAATTTTCTTGTAAAAGCAAAGTTTCATTTCTCTACGGCAAATCTCTGTTGTTTATTTTCCGTAGCCATTGCCGAAGTACTCTTCATTTGAAGATGAACGGGAGAAAGCACGTGTCATGTTTCTAAAATGTACATGATGTTCTCGGGGTCGTTTCATGATTATTTTACAAAGCTGTATCTACAAGATGTAACAGTTTCGTTGCAATGCATGATAGAAAACTTTAAAAAATGAATAACAAGCAACAACTTGAACAACATCATCGAGTCTGTGGAGTAGATCTAGAAATAGCACTTACTTTTAAGCTGAATAGAATCCCTATGAGTTTCGAAATAGATCTTTATAAACGTCACGACAAATTCGCATTCTGAAGATCACTTCATTGCCAGTTTATATCCAGTTCCGTATACTTTGAAACTCCTGAATGGCATGACATTTACACTTATGATGATCTAGATTTTTTCATAATCCGTCTCATTATTAAAACATTGTTCCATTTGTGCAGTTATCTGGGTTAGCAAATGAAATATGTAAATGAAACACATCATAATCCAGTATGTTCCAAATCCATAATTCAAGAACGGTCCATAAATTTAGTTCGACAGCACAATGTTTATAACTATTAAAAGAAAAAACATTATTACGTCACCAATAATTTACGAAATAAATGACGTAACAAAAATGCCTCGCGCTTTTTATGGATGATTCCAGTTGCGGCATTGGCAGAGGGCGGTTAGGCATATGTATCCTCATAAAGATAATTTTAAGCGAGATAAATTTGTCTTGATGGCATTTAAAATAAATTTTGTATACAGTACCCAGATTTTGCAGTAATTGTTAAAAGTACACCTTCAATTCATATATTAACAATAAAACTTTTGATAACATTTAAATAATTTTAAACACACTTAATGGCATGAATCTATATGACAAATACCTCTTTCATTAATTCACATATAACCTTCGTTTTGACTTTATGTTTTTAAACTATTTTATATATTTCTCAGAAATAATTTCCCTACAAATTATCTCGTTATTCAAGAGTTCTGTAAATCCTACTCTTTTAGCTACAAAATATACCCTATGCGGTGTTATTTTCTCTCGCGAAAAAATATAGCTATTGTTTTTTCACTGAATATTTTCAAATTTTAGGAAGGCTATAATTATTTAGGACACATCACTCTGTGTTTCTCTTTGACTCGATATCCCCTTCATATTAACATAGTATGTAACACTTTGAGTCTACAAAAAAAAAACTTATTGTCCCTGATTAAACGCTCTGGACAATTCAATCTTATTCTTAATAATATCAAACACTGCCGGTATTTCTGGACATTTTGTTAAATTATGAGACGGAAAATTAATCTGTATTTACAAGCTTAAAGTGTATAGGCCAACGTTTGGTTGCTCAAACTAGAAAGCATTTTTATATTCTTATAATTTACATTTTTCCTCGCACGCGAGTCTGTGTTCTCTCATTAGCAAATGAGCTAGTTAAAGTAGACACTGTGCAAAACAATACTAAACATATAGTGAATCAGTTCCCCTTTCTATATATTTCTTGTCAGATTTGCATGCTAATGTTATATTTGTTGGCGATTTATATACGTCAGGTTTCTGAACCTACGAAAAGTTTTAACGCACGAACATCGCACCCGAAATAAGAAGGGTAATATATTTTTGTATCCCATCGGACCTCGTTAATTATTTTTAAATAGACGTGATACATACTAATGGACAGTATTCAGACAACTACAGAATTATGTTAATTAAACATTAGCGAAGAACCATTTTTTCAGTCTTCTGGCTAGTGTTCCCGTTCCCTTACGACGCGTTGCGGTATTCAACATACGCGCTTGATTGAAAAGCTATCTAATCAAATCACTTCATAATATTGCTCTTTTTCTCTTAAAAAGAATATAAAATATGGTAATTATATAATTATATAAATCTTTGTGTGTTATAATTTATAAAGCGGTTACTGATATTTCACTTCAAATGATTTTAAATTGATTATTTTAAATAATGGTTTGCTAGTAAAATTGCCTTTTCGACACCAACTTTGTTCTCATTTTTCATTTTAATGATAACATTTAGCTATTGATCAGTAAGTAAATAAGAATAATCAATTTTTTATAATTACCGAGTACATTTCACGCTAATTGTGAGACGAACCCTAAATGACGTCTGTATGGGCGCCGCCATTTTGAAATGGACGTCACGTCAGGTTACAACGTAAGTCAACGGGAAAAAATATAATTTTAACATTTTGACCATATTACTGACTTTATGGAAAAAATGAAAAACATGCCTAGAGATATTGATGTCAGGATTAACATGACATTAATTTAAATGATTTTACTATTATATCTAATAAAAAATGGAATATTCAAATTTGGTGGGACAGACTATAGAACTCTTACGTTTAATATAACCACATCCTTCTGTATTGCAGCCGTCTTCATAACAACACTCTGAACATAGAGTCAGGTCATCGATAGCTTGTCTTTTTCTTTGTATATTACCTCCGTATGCTATCTTATTGCAATATTCTAGTCTGCAGTACTGAATAAGACAGAGTAAATCCATATAATGGTTTAAAAGCAATCTTAAGGGAAGCATTTGTACGGAAAAATGAAAACACAGCAGGCTCGGTTTAATTGAACCTTCCCATTCACAGAAGTATTAATAAAAGCTACTATCCATGCCCCAAAGCACAAGGCTTGGGCAGAATGGGAATTGAAAAAAAAAAGAAAACACTTCTTAATTTTATTTTTGAGAAAAAGAGCACGAAACTAAAAATCATTTAAATTTAATATGAATTATCTTTAATGATATTGAGCAATAAAGAATGAATTAAATGAAAATCCGTAATTTAGAAAGTCATATATGACACTTTTAAAGGTACCGATTGCTAAGTTTAAGAACCTTTTGAGACATCATATGTGAATTACGTTTTTATATGATTTAATCTTTCCGGAAAAATCATTTTTGTTGTGCACATTATTTTTTCTGTCGTGCAGAAGCTTTTAAAGAAGGGGTCAGTGCAAGATGGTACCTAACGTTCTTTCAAATTATTGTGAGAAAAGGGGCATTTTATGACAGTTAAGATTTGATTCATAATAAGTAATATTTTCAATAAAACAAACATTTGAAAACAAAGTTGTACGTTTTACACAAAACATGTTATATTTATTAAATGTATTCATATGCAAAAACAGTTCTTAATCCTTTGGAATTGTGTGGCTTTGCAACAATTGCCTTAGGTTTTCGACTTATCCCTAACGAAAGCTTGGTTTGATTGAGCCTGTTCATGGGCGGTACTGAACAGTGCAAGTAACCGTCCACGTCCGCTAGCACCGGCTTAAGTATAATTTAACATTTAAACACAAAAATGGTGAACATTTGAACTTAGAAACATTCGCAGATGTGTTCATACGGCAGTTATCATGGAACTTTCAATGTGACATGGTAGTGTCATCCCGTGAAAAGCGAAGTTATGCCCCAAGTAAAAGAATGAGTGCCCTTAACGAGAAAATAATGTATGGAAACTAAATAAAATGGAATTTTGTCAGGAGATCTAACGTTATGAAGCCTGCGTATCACAGACAAGACGTCAAAAGACAAATTAAAAAAACAGTCAACATATCCTAATGGGGACTATATAGTATTCAGGTAGGAATACTGGAACCGCCAAAGTTGAAAAAGCTAAATAGAAGGTTTAAAATACCATAAAAAGTTTACGCAACAATAATGTCGTGCTGAACGATCTTCAAGGATCGAAAATATAACATTTTTGATAAAATGTACTGGGAGACTTTTTACGGCCGCCACACGGCACAAATAACACGGATGTGACAATGAAAATAACCGTGTTTGACTTTCTTTAGGGATTCTTATTTTCACTATTTTGTGCTTTATTATTCAAGCTAAAAATATGGCTTCTTTAGTGGCCGTTGTCGTTTAAAGTGTTTAATGCCTGCTATTAAAAAATATATGTATGTAATTTTAAACGTGATAAAACAATATTATATGTTATCCTTCTATGTTGGACATAAATAAAATAAATATGAAAAACAGACTCAGTCAATCAAAAACTTACTTCAAGATTTTTACATCCAGTATTATAAACGGGTTGAAGGTCCACGGGTGACAAACTTTTTTCAATGTAACATGTCTGCAATGCAAGACAAACAAAATACTTTTCATACACTTATATCTTTAGTTTGACAAATTGTGATATGTCTGTTCGTATTTATCAAAAACTTGTAACACAACGGAGTAAGGGTTAAGAATATATTACACGACTTTGTTGAAAATGACAACGTACTGTAATCCTGTATTGATTGATTTTCATATGTGTAAACATAGATGTGTATGCCGCGAAATATTTTCCATGGAAATGAGGACATCATTTAACAACATAAAACATTAACTGTCAAAAGTACATGCTCATTAATCACATAAAATCTGAAGCAGTGAAATTTGTTAATAATTGTTATCAGAAAAATCTGTGTAAACATTTTTAGTTGACCACCAAAACAAAACTACGCGTCTCTCAATGTTCGTTTATCAAATTTCAAATATGTTGGTTTATTTCTAATGAAATACATCGCACGTTTTTGGCTTGCCTCTTCAAAGAAACGGCGGAGAGCTATTGAACTCACCCTGACGTGCATGTTGTGATTAAAAAAAACTCAATATTACTTTTTGAAACTGCACATACTTGTTCTTTGTGATTACCTTACATGATGAAGAAAGGTTCCATGACTCTAAGAGTTGTTCCCTATTTTCTAACTGTTAAGCAACGAGAGTAGTATAGTGCACTGTTATACAGATTTTTTTGTCTTGTTATAATTGAGTCTGTACATGAGGGATGATGATAATGTGCACATACCTCACGCCCCCTAGCACCGGCTTTAATGATACTAAATTTCCAACACTTAAAAATGATTGAATCATTGATCCCAAAGTACCGGAAAAGTAGAACAGCACTTATAATAACATGGTTATATAATATTAAAGCCATGTATTGAACGATTGTTCTACTTACCTCGTTGTTATTACAAACAACTGCTTCTTTACAATTGCTAAGATCGGCAGTATTTCTACAATTTAGACATGTTATGCATCCTGCAACTTAGAATGGAAAAATATCACAATAAATCTGAATTCAATTTATAGCTTGTTAATGACCGAAGGCAAGAAAGAAACAAAAACAACTCGGTATTGCTTCTAAGGAATTTCGTATGATTCGGGTTTCCACATGAATGTGGTATGCACTGCAATATATTTCATGGTACACTATTTAATTATATAGTTAAACATGCATATGTACATTTTGTTTGTAATTTGCAATATTTCATAAATGAATTGATAATTTAAATACTAACTAAAGTAACTATTATTTTCAATTAAAATATTATGTCAATAATAGTTTGTTTTATTTGGAACCGTGAATACAATTAGCAAGAAAATATGTTTTATCTACCAAGACAAACAAACATTCCTATACAGTAATAGACATTAGTAGATTTATCAAAAGATAAAAAAAAATGACGGTAGGTCAAAATGTGACACAATTAAAAAATGATTAAAAAACATAATTTACTGATTAAAAATATGTTTAAAAAGTTATTGGTCCTTCTTGTTCAAAGCATTGAAATGCTTCGAAACTTTTTAGACCATTTGGCTAACACTGTATTGAACCTTTATCTGGTATCTAATTGAAAACACTTAATTCTAACTCCTTGAACGAAAATAACACGTGTGTCTTGTGAGGGGACAGTAGATTAAAAGGCAGTCATATTAATCGCTACGCCAGTTAAAGGTTCGACAAAGAGGGTAATAATCTTCAATTTCAATGAGAAAATAAATGTTTATATATACTATCAACTTACATTTTATGTTAAGTAGCATAAACACAAATGACCAACATCCTAAAATACCAAAGGTCAATTTTATTATTTAAAAAATGGTATATTATTACAGTGTATAACAGTTTATAATGAAAAAATGCTTGCTACATGAACCTTTTTTGTGTCGCCTCTACGAAGTAGACATAAAGGGTCACTTCTCCGTCGTCTTTCCGTTCTTTATTTCGTCCGTCTCAAAACTTGTCCCGACTACTAAAATAATACTGGTGAAATTTCATCGAACCGCTACAGGAATGACCAGTACCAAATGTATTTGTGCATATCGTCGGCGTTTTCCAGTTCGGTGATTTTGTCAGAATTATGGATCTTAAATGCTTTAGATTTTATTTTCAAAGTTTGTCCGGAATACTTTTCTTATACAACTAAAGCAATTTCATTAAAGCTTTACTTGTTCATATTTCATGGGTATTCCGGTTGAATGATTTTTGTTGGAATCATGGCTCTTGAAAAAAGTGTTAATTAATTTTTGTCCGGACTACTCCTCTTATACCATTAATGCAATTTCAATGAAACCTTAAAGTATTTATCGGTAGGTCATATTTTGTGTGGAAATCTTGATTAAATATTCATTAAAATAAAGAAGAAAAAACAAAACAAACAACGTGTTAAATATGTACCTTTTGAGTGAAGTTGATGTACGAAACTCGATTATTTCATAATCTTGTGTTTCACCTTTTTACCGTTTGCTGTTTACTAAAATAGTGACCCATATCATCGGAAGGTCAATGTTTATAAAGCAAATGGTTCTAAAACAGCACACAATGAATTTCAAAAATACTATTTGAAGTTTAAAATGCTACACAAATAGGCTTTTCGAAAACGTGGGTAATCAATTAATTTTATATAAAAAACAATTATGAAAAGGATACAAATTTTGGTCACGGCAAACGAACCAGCAGTGATTTTTAAAATTTTATGAAGTTGACAAAAATTAGACATAACCCACTTGTTTCTAAATTTAATTAGATTGTTTTTGTTTAAAACACTGAAAAAAATGAAAATTTATTTACCTATGTCAAACATCCATGCCATTTTGCTTTTGTAGTTTGCTGAGGTAAGAAGATATGATAAATGACCTAATAGATAAGATTTGACCC